GATGCATCAGATTTTGCCTTGGGTGTAGTTTTATCACAAATGGAAACAGATGACAAACTTCATCCGATAGCTTTTCATTCAAGAAAATTCTCAGCAGCCGAGATCAATTATGAGATCCACAATAAAGAACTTCTTGCGATCGTGGATTCCTTTCAAGAATGGCGTCATTATCTAGAAGGCGCTTCTGGTCCAGTCACTGTGTATACAGATCACAAGAACCTCGAGTATTTCATGTCAACACGCGTGTTGAATCGTCGTCAAGCTCGTTAGAGTATGTCTTTGTCAAGATTCGAGTTCATTATCACTTATTGGCCAGGAAAACAACAAGGTTTGTCTGATGCCCTATCTAGACGTTCTTATTTTGCACCAAAAGAAGAAGATGCAGCTTTTGAGCAACAAAGAACGGTCCTCTTGAAACTGGAGCAATTTCATCTCTGAGCAATGAAATCAACATTGACTGTTGATTCAACTTTTCTCAAGCAAATCCATTCCAGTATGTCCTCAGACCCTCTTGTTTATGATATCGAGAATAATTCTTCCAAGTCTCATGATCCTTCTAAGTTCGAGTTGAAGAATAATCTATTATATTTTGAAGGACGCCTATATGTTCCAGAAGGAGAAGCACGTTTACGTGTTCTTCAAGCACGTCATGACTTTCCAGCAGCAGGGCACTTTGGATATAATAAGACTTTGGAACTCATATCAAGAGATTTTTGGTGGCCACAAATGTGGGAGTCAGTCAAAGACTTTGTACAATCATGTGATATTTGTTCAAGATCAAAAATTCCTCGTCATCGACCTTACGAACTCCTTCAGCCATTACCTATACCAGAACAACCATGGTCTTCTGTTTCTATGGATTTCATCACAGATCTTCCAAGCTCAAGATCTTATGATTCTATATTTGTGATAGTAGATCGTTTCACCAAGATGGCATATTTTGTGCCATGTACAAAATCTATCACAAGTGAAGAAACAGCTAAGCTTTTCATTGATAATATCTATCGCTATCATGGATTACCTAAAGATATCATATCAGATAGGGGAACTCAATTTGTGTCAAGATTTTGGAGGATCCTTTTCAAGATTTTAAAAGTGGACATAAAGCTATCTTCGGCTTTCCATCCTCAAACTGATGGACAAACAGAGCGCGTAAACCAAGTCTTGGAGCAATATTTAAGGTGTACTATCAACTACCAACAAGATGATTGGACAACCCTTCTGCCATTGACAGAGTTTGCTTATAATAATACGGTACATTCTTCCACGCAACAAACACCTTTCTTTGCTAATTATGGCTATCATCTACGACTTGATACTTTTGATTTTTCAAAAGTTGATAATCCTGCAGCAGAAGATATGGCAAATCGGTTGTCAGAGTTACATGCAATAATGAAGACGCAATTGAAGGAAGCTCAAGAACGACAAAAGATAAACGTAGATCTATATCGTAAGGAGAAACCACAACTCAACATGGGTGATAAGGTATGGCTACTTCGTTGCAATATCAAGACTACTCGACCTTGTGACAAGTTGGACTATCGTAGGCTTGGCCCCTTTTCTGTTTCTGAACAGATCAACCCAGTTGCATATCAGTTACATCTACCGGAGTCAATGAAGATCCATCCTGTATTCCACGTGTCTCTTCTTCAACCATATAAGACAATGGATATACAAGGAAGAAGACAAATGCCACCGCCTCCTATAGAAGTAGATAATAATGAAGAATTTGAGGTGGAAGAGATATTAGACTCAAGGTGGCACCGAAATAAGCTAGAATATCTTGTTCATTGACGCGGATATGATATTAGTGAACGCACATGGGAGCCATCCAGGAATCTAGCAAATGCATCAGCTAAAGTTAAAGTTTTTCATCAACAACATCCATCAAAACCAAGATGAAAATCTCTCTTATAAAAGAGACAAGATTGAGGCAAGATAACATTCAATTTCTTATCCTTGTTTGTAACTTCTTTGCATTTGTGACACTAATTAGATGGAGAGCCAACAACCAGCGGATTCAACTCAAGAACCTTCGTTTGCTGACCTACCGGACGAGACATTACGATTGTCACAACCTTCAAGACGACGCAATCGAGATGTAGATCTTCAAGAACGACATGTTCTTCCTCGAATAGATGGTGAGATACAACACGTTTGGTATCACGATTTGGGAAGGGACTCTCGATGTTTGGTGATTTTGCTAGAGGTAGGAGCAACTCCTGATGGTGTTCCGAATATTCTATTCGAAGAAAGTTACGAAGGCCTCAACAATGATCAAATAACTGGGTGGTCTTCCCGCCCTGGTATGGGACACTACCGATGGTTGAGAGGCCCTATCAATCATCTTCGAAGAGAACAGAGATCAGAGTATGTGGCAAATACAATTCGTCGCATCATAGATTTCCTCAACATATGATGACCGCTCCTCGTAGAACTCGTCTCTAGAAGGGGGGGTAATGTCACGGCCATAATCATGTAAGCTAATAATTACATATAGAAATAGGTAGAAGTAAGTAAAAGTAGATAAAAGTAAGTTAATTCTATAATATTTAATATAGAAGCTTACTAGAAACTTCCTAGACGTTGCTTTGACTTCATAGGTATCTTTAATTGACTTTTTGGATTAAAAACGTGGTCAACAAGTTGGCCATGTGCCACACATGTTGTTAGCTTGAAGATCAAGCTAACTATGTGGCCCACACGTAGAAAAACTTGCCTTGTAAGTCAAGGCATGTGTTCTACAAAGTCAACACATATTGGAGGTCCTATAAAACGTCGCCACGTAGCCCCTAGTTAGATAGTATATATAGAGACAAGAGTGAAGGCTTCTTCACTCTTGTCAACTCCTTTCTTGCTTCTAGTCTAGTTTCAAGGGTCTCTAGTTTTCTTGTCTTTTGGCAATAGCCATTCTAGTTTCTCTTTTCAATATACATACTTATTATTCATATTTTGTTACTTTTCTTTGAGTGAAGGCTTACTTGTCTGAACTGTTTTTTCATCGAGTTCTTGTCCTTGACATATGCTCAAGTCAAAAAATATATTTTTAAAATTTTAAATAGGAATATTAAGAAAATCTGAAAATAAATTATATCTTATTATATATATATATATATATAAATTAATTTTAATAAATAAAAAATAATAAAATTACTTAGTGATTTTTTAATAATATTTATTACTATTATTTTAAGTTTTTAGACAAGTATTTTTATTAATAAGGTTTTATAATTAATATTTAAAAGATAAGATTTTTTATTTTTAAATTCTATATGTATAATTTAAACTATTGCATTAAAGATATTTAATAGACTTAAGAAAGTGTTTATCAAGAAAATAACCAAAGAATATAAAATATTAAAAATTAGAAATAAAATTTTGATTATTTAAAAATCTAAAAATATATTTTATAAAAAAATAAATATTAATATTAAATCTTACAAATTATTAGGTAGACACTTATTTTTACTACATGGACATCTCTTTCTTTCTTTCTCTCTCTCTCTCTCTTGTCTTTAGACTCTACAAATATTATCAATCATTCCTTGAACACTAAGTAGTGAAACAAACTTGATTTCTATGTTAAATTATAAAATATAATACAATTTTTTTTTAACTTTGTTACTTTTATTTCATAATGTAAGTATAAAAAAAATCTTTAATTTTGATAGAAAAAAAAAACTAAAATTAATTTATTTTCTTTTATAATTTAATTTCTTTAATATAAGGATATATTTAATGTTATTTATAAGTTTTAATATTTGAAATTAATAATAAGTCTAAGAATTATTTAAAAACTCATGACCTTAATAATAAATTATAATTAATTTATAAATCAATAAAACTTAATTATATTTTTATTAAATTTTTCTATTGGAAAAATATTTTATTTTTAATAGTATAGATTGCAATTGTATTAAAATCCATACTAAAAGAGGTTCCTTGGAGTATTAAAATTCTTAAAGAAATTCTTTTCATCTTTGAATATTTTAAAACAAATGTTTATGATATTAATTGTATTAATAAAAAAATTGATGTATTTCAAATATTTTTTCATACTATATAATTCTCAATATCCATTAATATTATTATAAAATATAATAACAAATACTAGAAGTTCTAAAATAACATTAATCTGGAAAGAAATAATTATCAAACTTCAAATATTTTGATTCTTTTAAGAAATATGTATATATATATATATTATATAAAATGTTAAGACATTAATACTGCAAATAATATTTATCAACTTTTCAATAATTTTAAACTGAAATTTAAAAATCATATTAAAAAACTATATTATCAAAAAATTGATTTATGAAGGAGACAAATTTTTTAGAACTGTTATTAAGTTGAAAAATTAAATGTATTTTAACTAAAATTGGATTATACAAAATGTATTGACAAGACTGAGAATGGCTTTAGTATTCCATTTAAATGTACTAAATAATAAAAAGGCCTTAAGAAAGTCTCTTAAGAACTACAAGTCTTATAAGCCTAGTGTTCCAAATACTAGGCAATTGATTTGTACAATTTAAAATAAATTTGATAAATTGACTTATGTGGAGAACTTTAATTAATTCTGAAAGTAATTTTAGTCTGTGATAAGTATTGCAAATTTTCACAACTTAAAAGGCTGTTAGTATTTCAGAAAGTATTCAAGTCAATTAAATTAAAACTACACAATCACGAAACGCAAGAAATAATTTCTGCCATGCTTATCTATCTTCGAAAATTAATAATTTCAGCCAAGGCCCTTCCTTTTCCCCAACAACAATAAAGTCAAAACCATCTCAATTGGTCACCCTTCTGGATAGATGGATAGATAGATAGATGGAATAATCAACAGAGGTGGCAAAAAACGAATACAAATGAAGGGTCAGGGATGAATGAGAGGGCCGACCCACCCGGCCCGGCCCGACCAAAGCGAGAGCGGGCCTCGTTTGTATCACCACCTCGTTCGTCGCTCCCCTTTACTCTAATTATTCTTCTTATTCATTTTTTTCTGTTCGTTAGTTGAGTGAGTTTGTGTGTCACCTAATTCCCCTTGCATTGGGCTCTCCGCCTCCCTCTCTCTCCTACTCCCTCATCTCTCCGCTACAAGGAGGATTCGTTTCTCTAAGTTGTCTTCGTTGTGGACAAGGCTCGGAAGGCAAGGGATTTTGCGCATCACATTGGCACGGAGCTACAGACCTAGTGTTTTTTCAGGGCAGCTGTGATGGAGTTTGCGGGCGGGGCGGGAGCGACAGCGTTGCGAAGCGCGAGCAATGGCATTGTGCAGTGGGGAAGTCAGGTGGGCGCGAGCTTCAATCGAGGGGCTGCGCCGAGGAGCCAGAGGAAGGGATCTGTGGTGATCTCTGCCAAAATCAAGAAGGGGAAGAAAAGCTCTGAGCACGAGTATCCATGGCCAGAGAAGCTGCCGCAGGGCGAGTTCACAGATGGGGCCCTGAAATTTCTGAATCGCTTCAAGCCATTGACTAACCCGCCGAAGCCTGTGACTCTCCCCTTTGAGAGACCCATTGTCGACCTCGAGAATAAGATTGATGAAGTGAGTAGCTCCTCTTGACCTGTCCGTGTTACTTGTGCTTGTGTTTTTCGATTTGTTTTACCCCTCTCAGAGCTGCTCTAGATTCTGCTTGGAACCGGCATGCGAAGCATTTGTAGCTGGAATCAGAACCCATTGTTCTGTTTCGACGTGTGTTTGAATATCAGTGGTGTGTTGGTCTGGGTTGGTGCAATTGTCATCTAATACGTAACTTTAGCAATGCAATGGTTTTCATGCGTTTGGTTGCGGCCAAGTAGTGGATGACTGCGTTGCAACGTTGATTGACATCTAAGAGTTTCCACTGCTTCTTATTTGAGCTAGGTGACTGATGTGTGTTCCCATCGCAATGCTGCAACAGGTCCGGGAGCTTGCAAATAAGACAGGCATGGATTTTACTGACCAAATTGCCGAGCTCGAAGAGAGATATGACCAGGTTTGTATTCACCTTTGCTAGCTAAACTTAAACCCATTGATAGCCTGCAAGTGGAATCGCATCTGTTTATAGACAAGCATTTGAACTAGGTGTTGGTATTCATCGACGGAGCTACTGTAAAGGGTCAATCTTGTTTTCACATTGTACACAAGCCTTACCCAGATTCCAATTTTCAGTTCCCTTCAGGCACTCGACTTTCTGCTCTGCTCTGATTAGTGGTGTCGTTTTCATGATACATTACTTGCCTTACTGCATGATCTCCCATGACTTAGAATGTTTACTCCAGTTGCTAGACACGAGTATGCCTACCCTAGTTATCCAGTCTGAAGTTTAAAAGTAACATAATGTCAATGGTTCTCTTTATTATGCTCGTAAACTTCTATTGATGATACCTACTAGATATGGCCCCACATTTTTTGAATGATCATGAATGGAAAACACGGTGTAGACAGGGAGATGTCTTGTTCAGGTAAAATCTTGATGTGTTAAAATGCTAAGCAGGTGCGTAGAGAACTGTATGGGCAACTTACACCAATGCAGCGCCTTAGTGTGGCCCGTCATCCTAACCGGCCAACTTTCTTGGACCACGTCATGAATATGACCGACAAGGTAATTCATCAAGCTGGAATGCTCAGTGAGTGATATATCCATCCTATTCTCGCTGATTATATGTGCTGGGCACCTGCTGTGTGCATGAGTTATGTTATCGAGAATCCCCTCTAAGATTTGAGCTTTCCTATTGCAGTGGGTGGAACTTCATGGCGATCGAGCTGGATTCGATGACCCTGCTTTAGTCTGTGGTATTGGGTCCATGGAAGGAATGAGCTTCATGTATATTGGTCACCAGAAAGGTCGGAATACAAAGGAGAACATCTACCGTAACTTTGCCATGCCTATGCCAAACGGGTACGTTTGAAGTCAGTTTTTTACATTTTTCTTATGAATAGCGCTAATTAAGTCTGTACTTTGAGTTTTAAAGAAATGTTCCGCTATTTCTGCACTTTTCTTGATTGTATCTGAGAAGTAAAATTTTCTTTAAAGAGCAGCATTTGTAGCTAATGTCAAAGGTCGTTAGTTCCCGATCCATCTAGAGCATTTCAACAATGTCATAATGCTACTTTTTGCATGAAATTAAATGAAAACCAGTGGTTTTCTTTATCCCAATATTATGAATACAGAATATTCTGTACCTTCAACATCTATGATTCATTGATTCATTTTCATTCTTGTTCACCTTTGCAGATATAGGAAAGCTTTGCGCTTCATGCGACATGCAGAGAAATTTGGTTTTCCTATCCTCACCTTTATTGATACCCCCGGAGCATATGCTGGCATCAAAGCCGAAGAACTTGGGCAGGTATGTCAATTGTTTTCTTGACCGAAGAGGAACCTCTACGTTATTCAATCTATGCATGCTAAGTGGAATTTTTACCACTTTTCCATTTGGTTGAGGATGGTGGCTGTTCTTTGTGGAAATTTCACATGATGAATGGGAGTTACAGGAGGTGATAAGTGATCATGCACTCTTACAGGCAATTTTTCAAGATTTGCAAGTTCTCAATGAGTGGTTTTATTGATTGGAACTCTGTGCAGGGTGAAGCTATTGCTTTCAATTTGAGAGAAATGTTTGGCATCAAGGTGCCCATCATCGCGACAGTAATAGGAGAAGGTGGCTCTGGAGGTGCACTTGCCATTGGATGTGGTAATAGGATGTTGATGCTCGAGAATGCTGTCTACTATGTAGCAAGGTGCAATTGCAACCCAAATGAGATTCTAACTGCTTTTATTCTCGAGTCTTTAAACATGTTGCAAATCTCTCATTCTTGCTTATAAGAGTGGACTGATTGTAATGTAGATCGGGTCCTTCCAGCCATGTCAACATTTGAAGTTGCTCCTAGTTGTTATTGATTAAAATTTAGTGGCAACGACTATCAGAGTGTGACAAATTATAGAACCTTCCGCATCCTTATTCCTGAAAGATTTTCCTGTTTGTCACAGTCCGGAAGCATGCGCTGCTATTCTCTGGAAGACTGCTGCGGCTGCTCCTAAGGTAGTATATCTTCTTGTTGATATCGTCTTGTCTATGGCGACGTATTGTGACTGGCTTTATTATAAGAATTGATATGCTAATTGAAATTGCTTCACATACGATCTGAACTCTTTATTGTTGTGTGCAGGCCGCAGATGCTTTGCGTATCACTGCGCATGAATTGCAGAAATTGGATGTTGTGGACGATATCATTCCGGTACGTTATGCTGCTTCACCTGCTCCTGGCTAGAAGCCCAGTAGATGCGTAAGATACGCTGTGTATGATGTTAATTTGTGCATCTTCTAAGCCTCGCTATTGTGGTGTTTTTTCATTTGAAAGTTCAGCACATGTATATATATAACATTTTCCGTCATCCTGATATTTGTTTTGTGTTCTGATGTCCTCAGGAACCGGTAGGTGGTGCACACTCTGATCCAGTGCAGACTTCCCTTAACATCAAGACGGCTATCATGAAGCACATGAAGGTAAGTGAATGGATGATAGTAATCAATTTGGAAAGCTATCTATTCCCATCTTTTTCTTTCTATTAATGGTTTTATATCCTTACTGGTCAAGGTGTAGTGCTTCGTAAATGAGTTTCTATGATTCTATGATAAATTAGTTCTTCTTGGACTCGCATTGCAGCAGATACATGCATCACTGAGTCTATACGTACGTTGCATAGACTTGGAATCTCCATGAAAAGTCCGTAGGTTTACAAGCATAGCTCCGTTTCGTTCTGTTTTTTTCTCGGATTTAATCGACCTCCTGAACCACTTGTAACATAAACTTTTGGTGTACATCCAACAGGAATTGATGAAAATGGATCCTGAGACACTCCTGCAAGACAGAGCAGCCAAGTTCAGAAAGATTGGTGACGTCGATGAAAGTGGTGAAGTAGATCCTCACATCAAGCGAAACATGAAGAAGCGGGACGCACCACTTGAAGATAATGAGCTCAGGTCGCTTCCTTCTGGTAACGGAAGCGCACCCAAGCCACTCATGGCGAGCAGCAATGCAACAAGCGACGGCTCCAGGGAGTAGGCTCAGGTGTATCAAACCTTAGGTGCATCCATATGTTTTATTTATAATGCTTGCGCCCTTCTTCTGATCTACGTGTTTTCACGATATCCTCTCAGTCGAGGAAGATTGTACTGTAGTAGATACTCCTCCGTTGAATTGGTGACCCGCCAAGCCTCGAGTGATCATATTACTTGTGATGGCTTAGCTGTATTAGTGATGTTATTCCTTGTCCCAAGCCGAAGATTATATGGCGCTTTTCTGCAGCTGTGCTGTTTAGCCAACTGCCGAGGGCCGCATACCATGGTTTCCATGCTATGCTTTGTCGACAATCAAACACTGCAGTAAATTCAAGAATCTTGGCAAGTGTAGGGTAGTTACTGCAGGGCACAATCGATACTTGGATAGGTCCATCTAGTTCAGCCTCCTGTGAAGGTTGTTGGGGTGATTTGATGTTTTCGAAATACGAATGGAAGAGGGATTTGCAGCGGGTTAAGTTGATCCTGCCTCAATACTTATTTCAGAATGATTCAAGTTTCTGGCCATCTACGTATCTGAATTAAAACACACAGAAGTAATGTCATCTACGAATATGCAACCCAACTCATACAATGAAGTTGTCTCTTCGGTCAATTTTGCTAAATTCTCTCTCGTTGGAAACTGGAAAGAGTATCTAGTTTAATCACTAGACTTGGCCAACTACGGTAAAACATGATTCTCATGATGTCTCAAATCGTGTGGAGGGCACGGTTGGCGAGTCTAAGTACTAGTGCAAGACAAGAAAGGACATACTGGCAGCAGATTGGATGGTTGCCGTCCTCCGTTGAAGTCTACATGGTTGGGGTATGCCGCTCTCACCCGAGCGACCCGGGCTCGAATCCCGGCAACGGAAGTTTCCGAGGGGCATACTTAACTGTGCAGCCCTTTCTTGCCAAGCTCCAAGCCCCCCTCCCCCCTCTACCAACTAATTTGGGCCCTAGATGCATCTGAAAATGGAAGAGTGGGGATACCTTATCACATTTTAGAGTAGATTTGTTATTAACACAGAAGTGGGATGGATTTGCCAATATCAATATTACATGGGTATTCTTGATATTTCAGCATATATGAGGGATGTATATGACATTTCTTTTCTATGTAATACAGAGCTTTCAAAAAGTATGTATATTATGCAAAATTATATTAAAAACTTATTTTTATATTTTATAAATTATTATAATTTTTGTAAATTTTACAATGTTGTATTGAAATAAACAAAAAAAAATAAAGACAATAGTATAATAGTTGAAAGTTTTTAGAACAACAAATAAAAAAATTATCTTTTATTTTATTTTCCCTTTTGCTATAATCTCTTAGAATTTCTTTTAAGAATAGCTTTGTCTTTTAAAAGAAAGTTGTTCTTCCCTTTTATTTTCTTCTCTTACTATGACTAATAGAAATAAAATCTACCTTAATGTTTTGTAACTATGCTTAGATTTTATTGATAAAGTTTGTTGCCATAGCATATATCTTTTATTGTTAGTGGATATTTTAATAAGTTTTAAATTATTACTCACTAACAATAAAAGATATATGCAATGGCAACAAACTTTATCAATAAAATCTTAGATATTTATTTTCTAAATTTATCTCAACTAATTATAAATTTTAGAAAAAATAGCTAAAACAACACATCTTTAACAACCTCAAATTACCTATCTTGTCTTGAGATCTATGTAATTACTAAGGCATATATAATAGAACTTTATAACTAAACTTATATCAATTAATCAATTATTTTTTTAACATTAAAATATTTCTAAATAATCCTTTAAATACTATAATACAATATATCTAAATCACAATAATAATTATATACATTAGCTTCAAAAATCAACAACCTATTTTTGTTCTTGCTATCAAAACATCTTAGTTGTGTTTAATATAAGGAGAAAAAAAAAAAAAAAAAAAAAAAAAAATACAAGTTCAAATTATTTATTTATTTCTGTAATCAATAAGTTCATAACTTTATAACTTCTCTATTTCAATTATTTCAATAATTCATATAAAATAATTAAATTTATGAATTTAAATACTCTATCTAATCTTATTTTTATTTTATGTAATTGAAATAGAAAATACATATTTACAATTAATTAATGCATCATAACTAACTAAAAAATTTTCAAACAATTTTGAGATGGTACACTCCTATTTACAATTTTTTATTTTTTACAATTTTAATAGAATTATAAGATATAGATATATATATATATATATATATATATATATATATTTAAGCAAATTAAACCTATTAGTTATTTTTGAACATTTTGAAAATAGCTATCAGGTTTGCAAAGCTTATATTTATATAATCATAATAATTTTGAAGCCATTTACTTACAAAAATAAATTTATTGGATTTTATACTAAATATTATACTATAAAAAATAATTAAAAATAAGAAAATATTTTTTTAATTCAAAAAAATATTTATTAGCTATAATTAATTATAAAATTTTAAATATAAATATTAATGTTATGAAAAACAAAATTTTGAAATAGCATTATTATCTTATAGGTACTTTATTAATAAATTTTATGCTAAATATAATTTTTAATTTTTTTAATATTCATATGTATTTTAAATTATTACTGAATTTTTTGAAAAATCTATATGCCGTAAATTCTATTAAATATTATATATTATACCAAAAATAATAAAATTTATTAGACGTCCTATGTAATTATTTTTTTCATATATATATAATCAATATTATATTGTTCTTCTGAAATTAGAAAAAACATATTTGTGAGCTATAAAATAAATAACTTTACTTGATTTCGTGTTTTTTAATGAAATTTTATAAAATATGTATATATTTTTAAATATCTTATTTTTAAGATTAAAAATGGAGAGACTTGATAGCCTTGACAAATTGACCATGTGTCAAGGACAAGAACTCGATGAAAAAATAATTCAAACAAGTGAACCTTCACTCAAAGAGAGGTAACAAAATATATATAAACAAGTATATATATTGAAAGAGAAATTGGAATGGCTATTGCAAAAAGACAAGAAAACTAAAGACCCTTGAAACTAGACTAGAAGCAAGAAAGGAGTTGACAAGCGTGAAGAAGCCTTTACTCTTGTCTCTATATATACTATCTAAGTAGGGACTACGTGGCGACGTTCTATAGGACCTCCAATATGTGTTGACTTTGTAGGACATATGCCTTGACTTACAAGGCAAGTTCTTCTATGTGTGAGCCACATAGTTAGCTTAACCTTTAAGCTAACAACATGTGTGGCACATGGCCAACTTGTTGACCACATTTCTAATCCAAAAAGTCAATTAAAGACACCTATGAAGTCAAAGTAGCATCTATGAAGCTTCTAGGAAGCTTCCATATTAAATACTATAGAATTAACTTACTTTTACCTAATTTTACTTATTTCTACTTATTTGTATATATAATTACTAGCTTACATGATTATGTCCATGACATTACCCCCCCTTCTAAGGACGAGTTTTACGAGGAGCAGTCATCATATGTTGAAGAAATCTATGATGCGACGAATTATATTCGCCACATACTCTGATCTTTGTTATCTTCGAAGATGATTGATAGGGCCTCTCAACCATCGGTAGTGTCCCATACCAGGGCGGAAAGACCACCCAATTATTTGATCATTGTTGAGGCCTTCGTAACTTCCTTCGAATAGAATATTTGGAACACCATCAGGAGTTGTTTCTACATCTAGCACAATCACCAAACATCGGGAGTCTCTTCCCAAATCGTGATACCAAACGCGTTGTATCTTGCCATCTATTCGAGGAAGAACATGTCGTTCTTGAAGATCTTCATCTCGATTGCGTCGTCTTGAAGGTTATGACAATGGTAATGTCTCCTTTGACAGGTCAGTAAATGAAGGCTCTTGATTCAAATCCGCTGGTTGTTGGTTCTCCATCTCCTGAGCGTCACTACTACAAAGAAGCTACGAACAAGAATTGAAAGTAGAATGTTATCTTGCCTAGATGTTATTTTTTTTATAAAAAAGGTTTTCATCTTGATTTTGATATATGTTGTCAATGAAAAGCCTCCACCGCCTTTGCTACACTTGCAAGATTCTTTATTGGCTCCCATGTGCATTCACTAATACCATATCCGCGCCAATGGACAAGATATTCTAATTTATTTCGGCGCCGCCTTGAATCTAAGACTTCTTCTACTTCAAACTCTTCATTATTGTCCACTTCTATAGGAGGAGGTGGAGCTTGTCGTCTTCTTGGTATGTCCACTGTCTTGTATGGTTCAAGAAGAGACACATAGAATACTGAAAGGATTTTCATTGACTCCGGTAGATGTAAACAATATGCAACTGGATTGATTTGTGCAGAAATAGAAAATGGTCCCAGCCTTCGATAGTCCAACTTGTCACAAGGACGAGTGGTCTTGATATTGCGATGAAGTAGCCATACCTTATCACCCAAGACGAATGATGATTGTTCTTTTTGATAGACATCCGAATTGACCTTTTGTTGTTCTTGAGCCTCTTTTAATTGCACATTCATCGTTGCATGTAGCTCTGATAAATGAATTGCTAAATCTTTTGCAACAGGATTATCAACTTTTAAAAAGTCAAAAGTATCAAGTCGTGGATGATAACCATAATTAGTAAAGAAAGGTGTTTATTTTGTAGAAGAATATATCGTTTTATTGTAAGCAAACTCTGCCAATGGCAAAAGAGTTGTCCAATCATCTTGTTGGTAATTAATGATACATCTTAAATATTGCTCCAAAACTTGATTAACACGCTCCGTTTGTCCATTAGTTTGAGGATGGAATGTCGAAGATAGTTTTTTATCGACTTTAAGAAGCTTGAAAAGAGTCCGCCAAAATCTTGATACAAATTGAGTTCCCCTATCTGATATAATATCCTTGGGTAATCCATGATAGCAATAGATATTGTCAAGAAAGAGCTTAATTGTTTCTTCACCTATAATAGATTTGGTATATGGTACAAAATGTGCCATCTTGGTAAAACGATCTACTATAACGAATATAGAGTCATAAGAACTTGAGATTGGAAGATCCGTGATGAAGTCCATAGAAACAGAAGACCATGGTTGTTCTGGAATGAGTAATGGCTGAAGAAGTCCAAAAGGTCGATGACGAGGAGTTTTTGATCTTGAACAAATATCACATGATTGTACAAAATCTTTAACTACCTTCCACATTTGAGGCCACCAAAAATCCCTAGATATCAGTTCTAAAGTCTTATTATATCCAAAATGTCCTGCTGCTCGAAAGTCGTGATGAGCTTGAAGAACATATAAACGTGCTTCTCCTTCTGGAACATATAGGCGTCCTTCGAAATAGAGTAGATTGTTCTTGAATTCAAATTTAGAGGGATCATGAGATTTAGAAGAATTATTCTTGATATCATGAATAAGAGGGTTTGAAGACATACTTAACTGGACTTGCTTAAGAAAAGTTAAATCAATAGTCAATGTTGATTTTGTTGCTCGAAGATGAAATTGCTTC